TGGTAAAAACGTGGTGTGCAATAAGAATTGCTATAATTTCTTACTAGTTTTATTCCGGAAAGCTGAGAGTAAAAATGTAGTACACACACGCTTTTATCACAATGACTATATATAATTTTCTCGTTAATCATTTTATTCTATAATTAAGAATTATTTTTTACTATTTAGTTCGCACACTATAAAAGCGTGTTTTTTTAACTATAATTTATTTTTCACATTGCAGTTCGATCTACAATAAAAAAAGTGTGTTTTTTAGTTTTTCAAACTATCATTGATTTAACTTTAAGGTTGTAACTTAATCTTTTAGTCGCCAAATCCGGAAATGGAAAATCGTTAATCCTGATCAGAACAATAGAACAAAATTGTTAAATTATGGTATTGTCATCCGTCCTTGACAAGTGTGTAAAATTTCCAATTAATCTGACCTTTTATAGCGAGTAAAAATCGAGTTCAAAGATTCCGTTACATATAGGTGAAGCTTTTAAAAGCGGGTTAAAAAATTATATCATGATTGTAAAGACTTTAAGCGAACTGTCACATTAAGAGGAAAATCTTGAGGATTTAAAAATAATTTTTAAAAAAGAATTTTGTATCGCATTAAAGTGTAATTTGCAATAATCAAAGAGTATTTTTTTTTCAAAAATAATTCCCAACTGTATACGAAAAAAAAATATTTCATGCCATTTTATTTTTACTTGAAAATTTATTTGTAACGGAACACAGGAAAGTATCTTAAAATGTTTTGATGTAATGTGTAACAAAATTAAACATTTAATCATTTCTAACTATTTGATTCTACATTATATTTTCACATTCTTTACTTTGCTTCTTGTGGACTTAAAAAGTACTTAACGAGTACTTAAAAAGTATTATTAGATACATTATTACATAAAAGTACTTAAAATATCATTAGAGAGAGAGGTACACGTTATTACACATAATTAAATTTAAAAAACTGAAGCAATAAAATTGAAAATTTATAAGATTTTTTTTTCTAAATTAAAGTTTACATAGTTATTAGATGTCAAAAAAATATACTAGCATGTTTTTTCCTCTTAAAATATTAAAACTATAATTCAATCTTTGTGTGATTTAAAAAATCAAATAAATACTCTAATGAAAAAATATTTATTATTAAAATATACAAATGAAGAATTTAATACAAGAATGTAAAAGTTAATAATTAAATTAATGAAAAAAATACACACAAATGAACAAATGATAGCAAAAATATAAAAATTTTCACTCTTTATCAGAAATTCTAAAGTAATGTATATCTTCCTCCAATTCATTCATAATGTTCTTTTTAATCTTAGATTTAGAACTTTTAAACTGTTTGTAGAACTCTATTTCATGACACCATTTTTTATCAGGAATTCGAACTAGAAAATGTTCGTTTTTCTCCAGTATTTTTTCTCCTGGTAATGAAGATATCAGGGGATTAGATGCAGTGTTCAACCAATGTGCATACAGAAAACAACAATTTTCATTACTAACAGTGTCTTTCATTTCCATCCATCTCACTTGAAATACAGGATCTTTGTCTTTGAGATGCTTATACCTCCCAAGAGTCCAATATGTATTACGTTTGTAATAATTCTCTATATTTTCCTTTATATTCAACTTAATATTTTCCCAATGAAAACATATGTCTACCAGCTCTCTAACTTTTCCATAACTCAGGGCAATGATATATATTCCAGTGGTGTCAGGGGCCTTTTCATTGACGCAAACATCTTCCAGGGATTTCCATTTTCCAAAGTAAGCGTCGCAAACTTCGCACGGTTCAGTCCACTTACAGCTCTTGACCACCTCAACTACCTTTGGTGGCATGGACTTTGGTTTTCGCCAAAAGGCGTCTTTTTTGGGGTAACACCATTTCTGGAGTTCATTAGAGAACATCAGACTGTCTGTTTGCTGCAGAAGATTCAACCCTGGCCACGAGTTGAGGTACTTGGGCAACACCCCGTTGTTGTACCAATGGGCACAGAGACCGATGACGTCAGTCTTTTGTTTAAATGTCATCCACCTGAGGAGGACCACAGATTTCGTGATTTTGGACTTTTTGTCCGCAACTCTTTCGTAAACGCGATCTATGCTGTTGTAGGCTTGTTTCTGAATGTCGTGCTCGTCGATAATTATGTCCACAACTTCGGTGGAGTTCTTGCTTTTAAGGCCCACTATGAAAATTCCTGGCTTGGTGGGGATCTTGGGAATATTTTCTTCGTTCGATTCCACCCACTTGCCAAATCTTTTGTCGCAGAACTCGCAGGGATCTGCCCAGCCCTGGCAGGGGGCTACTGGAATATCGGTCTCTTTCTTCGATGAAAAATTGCTCGAAGGCATTTCTCCTTTCAGTTTTGCTAAAAGAATAAAAAAAACAAATTTATAGTAGTAACATACGTATTATTGCTTCTAATATGATTGTAAGCAAACTCTTTATAAGGAAAAAAAGAACTGATTTAACTGATTATAACTGTAACGAAAGTACGCGAAATTGTCATACTTTTATATAAATGACCAGGTCATTTTTATGTAAATGACAAGTTCAGAAACCATAGCTTTCCTTTCAATTCCTACTATTTTAGTTCCCTCTCTCCCTGTATACAGTCGAACCTCTAAATAACGAACCTCTATATTGCGAATGTTTCTATACAACGAAACTTTCTGGAACCTTGAACATTTCCCGATTTTCTTCGTAAAATAATCTTTCTATAGCGAAGAGCATTTTCTATATAACGAACATTTTGTTTTGTGATTCAATTTTTGTTCTTTTTTTTTATTTCTGAAAAATTTACAACACATATACTCTTTAACACATTTTATGGCGGTCATAAATCTTGAAATGATTTTATTAGATTCTACTTCGCCGAAAATTAAGAGTTCTGGAAGTTTCATCCAAGAATTGCAACCTTTTAACTCACATTGCTCAGTTCACTAGAAACATCTTCGATATCCTCTTTCACCCTCAGTGAGTTGTCCCGTGTCCCCGTGTTCAAATTATAAAATAATGTATGTTTAATATTACTTGTATGCTTTAAATTATAAAATGTTCTTAAAAATCATTAATTTTAGTATAAAATTATTTTCTTAATATTGACATTCTTCGACATTCTTTTTTTCTTGTTTTCCTTGCAGTTTTTCTTTGTTTCTTTTTTGATGGACAAGATGTATAAAATAAACATATATTAATTTTAAAAAGGTGTGAATTATTACTTTTTTTTTAATATAAAGCGTTTATGAATTTAAATTTCGTTTTATGAGGTTTATAAAGTATATTAAAAGATGAACCTCTATATAACGAATTTTCCATATAACGTACATTTTTCCGGAATTAAGCGACTTTGTTATATAGAGTTCCGAATGTATATATATATATACACTGCTGGCCACTGTAAATGCAACACCAAGAAAGACAAGAGATAGCACAACAAAATTTATTTTGTAGATAACATGTTGACCAAGTATCAAATGATTAAATTTATAGACTTCCGTGAAGTGTGGTTCCTGCCAGAATCAGTAGCCAGAGAAGCCGCCATTGTTAGAGATTACCGCTGCCACACGCCTCAGCATTGATTCAAAGAGACTTTGGATGTGTTCTTTGGGTACAGCAGACCAAGCAGCTTCCACACGTTGCCAAAGTTGATCTGGCGTGGCAGCTGGGGGTGTAATCTGGGTCAATCGTTGAGCAACCATGGACCACATGTTTTCTATCGGCGAAAGATCCGGAGAGCGAGCCGGCAAGGGAAGCAATTCAATCTGGTGATTGACGAAGAACCTTTGGACAATACGTGCCACGTGTAGTCGCGCATTATCCTGTTGAAATATGTAAATATGGCTGTGGCCAAGCCCTGAAGGTAAGAAAGGACAACTGGCTCCAACAACTCGGAGATGTAGCGCTGGCGGTTTAAAGTACCGGCAATGCGTATTAGAGGAGTGCGAGAGTAATATCCAATATCGCTTCATACCATAATACCCGGTGCAGGACTAGTGCGGCGGTGCATAACGCAACTGTTCAGCATCCTCTCTCCACGGTGTCTCCATACTCGAATCCGACCATCGAGGTGTTGCAGACAGATGCGCGACTCATCAGTAAAGACAACTTCATTCCATTCTGCCACCCACGTCCTTCTTTCATCGCACCATTGGCGGCGGAGACGTCTGTGGTTCTGCGTCAAGGGTAGACCAAGCAATGGACGTCTTGCGGACAGACCACTCTGCTGTAAACGGCGTCGAATGGTACGCGCAGACACTGAATGATGCCTTACAGACTCAATGTGCTGTGCTATGGTTCGGGATGTGACTGAGCGATCCGTCACTGCCATTCGCACAATTTCCCTGTCCTCACGTGAAGTGTTGCACTGAGGTGGATGCGATCGACCACGTCGGTCCATCGTACCCTCCGGCCTCCAACGGTCAAATATCCGCATTAAGTTGTTTGATTTCGTCCAACACGACTACTAAATTTCCCTGAAAGATAATCCACTATCTCGGTAGGCCACTTTCCTTCCTCTGTCGAACTCGGATACTTGATCAAAAGCTGATCGCTGTTTTCTACGAGACATAACTGATCGTTTTTTGAAAAAACCACAAGAAAAACACAGTTGCCGAACTTGAAATCGTCGAAATCTCCAAGCCTTAAATAGCGCTTTGAGGTGGCGCCACAGGCGCGCGTGATGTGTGTCTGCGCTGAAATCCTAATCATTTGCATATCTCACCACCGCTAATGCATGTTGTAAAGTTCATGTTTTTGCATTCTTCCTTCAGGGTGTTGCATTTACGGTGGCCAGCAGTTTATATATCTAGTTCAAATTTTCAATCGTTAATAAAATATATACTTTCTATTTATCCATTCAAGTTCAAATACATTTTGTAAACTTGTAGTGGATGACACTTGATGTTAATCCAGTTCTTTCAAATATTAATTCAGTAATTAAATGAAAAATTAATAAATAGTAATAAACAAAAATAATAGTCTAACAACATATATAGAACGGAAAATCGTTCGTTGGCGCAATACATAGCGCGTTGGACCTAATCCAAAGATCGTGGGTTCGAATCCCACCTAGGATGGCTTAAATTCTGAGAATGTGATTTCTTTTTTACTATACTATTTTGTTAGAATAATTAAATTTTTAATTAATGAATAAATAGTAAAACAAACAAACAAAGATATTAAAATACCATACATAGAAAGGAAAATGGAAAATTGCAAGGGAGATTTATTTCTATGTTGTCTTTTAATGTTCTGATTCTGTCATATGTATATACATATTTATATTAATTGTAACTATTTAATAAAAATGAACTAAAATAAATTTTTTCTTTGTTGACCTAAGTAGGAATTGACTTAATTTTTTTAAATGACTTGCTTATTAAAAAAGACAGCAATAAAAATATCTCAATTCAAGTTTAAAATCACAAGAGACACAAAAAGAAGCTAAATTTTCAAAAACAATTTTTGGTTAATAATTATTATAAAAAAATTCAACATAAATTAATCAAATCAATTTTTTAGTCTGTTTTTGAAGCAAATTTCTATTTTCGATCAATTAAATTTCAGTGCCTTTTTGCGTTAAGAATTTGGTAATTTTAATAGTTCTTTGTTTTCAATGAATTAAAATAAATTATAGTAATGAATCCCAATTACAAATTTCTCAAAATCACAAATTTAAATTCAAAGTGTTTAAACAAGGTAATTTTAATTTATTTCAAGATTTTTTAAAAAAAAATTATGTTTCTAATTTCTTAAGATTTACGACCAAAAAAAGTATTCTGAATGTTTTTCTTTAAATGCATTGCAAAATTGTAAATTTTTAATCTCTAGCAACGAAGTAAATTAAAATTCCATGTCTGTAGTTCTTCACTTTATAAGAGAATTTATGCTCTAGATTATTTTTATTTTATGAATTATTTTATTTAAATAAAAATAAAATAAATAAAATTTTTTGAATTTTAAAGTAAAAAAGGAAAACTTTTAAGGTATCCCTACAACCCTAAAATCATGATTTTTTTTTAAAAACTGACAAATTCGTTTATGATTTTCTTTTATAGACCATCTTGTTAGCTTTATAAAAATACCAAGTTTTTTATTTTCCATTCACCAGAACAAAAACTACAAGTGTTTTAGTAAAAGCAGACGCCATAACTTTACATAAGATGTCAAACTTTAAAATGCGCTTTACTCGAATTTTTTTTCTTATAAAAGCTCAAATGGTACAAGCGATTGCTCAAAAAGTTTTTACAAGCGATTGCTCAAAAGGTTTTTACAAGCGATTGCTCAAAAGGTTTTTACAAGCAATTGCTCAAAAGGTTTTTAAAATGAGTTGCTGAAATATTTTGTGTGTATTATGTATAACAATAGAAGTGTTTTAACCGTCAGATTTATCAATCATTGTTTTATTAAAAAATTTACAGTTCTTTATGTGAATATATAATCACTGTTTTTTAAGCAATTTCATAAAATAACTAAGATAAAGTGCTCTAGTTTTTGTAAATATTAAAACATCTCTTATCCTGAAGGTCATTTCAAAAAGGAATAGCAAAGTAATCATCAAAATTAAAAAAATTGATAATTTTTTTCTATCTGCTACTTGTACAGAGCGGGTCCCGTTTATGTAATTTTTGGTCGAATGTTACCCATTTTTTCTCATTTTAGTAGTAATAATTTATTTTCTCCTCTTAATTTTAGCCTTTTATTCTTAAAATGTACAAAATAAATCCAAAAACCACAAAAAAATCCCCATATCTCCATTTTTTTAAAAAAAAATTGTCGCAAATAGTCGGATACCTTAAATAAATTTTAAAAAGCGATGAAAATTTTCAATAATAGCTAGAAGCAGGTTGAATCTTATGAGAAAAAAGGCCGTATTTTCAAAACTAAAAGTACGAGTGTAACGAAATTCTCAAAATTAAAAATTCCGACATTCCTGATATCATTTAGTTAAGGTACCCGAACACGTTCGGAGCAATTTTTAACAAAATAACATATTTAAACATTATAAAGTCTTTTTTAGGACTCAATACCAATAAATACTAATATTTAACTAACAATATTTAAAATAAATTGTCTAAATTTCACAAAAATCCCAATTATAAGTGAAATTTTAGCAACATTTTTGTAAAACTTCAAAGCAATTAAAAAGAAGTAATAAACTTATATTAGTAAAAGTATTACCAAAACAATCTAGATGCATTTATCTAGAGAATGTACTAAAATGTTAATGTTTTATTAAAATTTGAAAATTTTACAGTTGATTGAGTACACATTATAAGAAAAATCACATCTTTTTATGAGACCATTATTTAAATAACAAGCCCTAACTCAAAAAATATTCATACAATAAGAAATATTTTAGTACATTCTCTAGAAAATAGCATAAATATAAGGTTAAAAAAAGTTTTATAGAAATACATTTGTAATATTTTGAGTAATCAGACTCGCCATGATAGATTTCGAGTAATTTAAATGCCCACTTCTGGTAGATGAAGACCCACTTCCGGTTTTTCTAACTTAATAAAATTGATTGTAGCTTGGCCTTTAGGTAGAGTAGAAACAAAACAAAATACGTTTTGTAAAGCCAAGAGATGGCTCTATTCAATGAAAGAGAAAACAAAAATATCTGTCTTGACCGAATTTGGTCATTTTCAACCTGTTCGGATACCTTAAATTTATTTTGATTTATCTTTAAATATAGCACCTGTAAAATTTGCATTTTTTATACAGAAAAAAATTATGTGCAGTTAGTAAAATTAGTTTCCAAATAAAATCAACATAAATAGCAAATTCCTCTCAAAAGAAATATTTCAAAATATTTTTTATGAGAATTTTTTTCTTTCTTTTTCTTGTGCACAATAAACTTTTATTCTCTTTTATTATCGCAATGAATTACTTAGTAGATTTTAGAGTTAACTATGTAGGCAGTATAGATTAATTTAAATTTATTAAATGTTCATTATATCTGAAAGCATAATAATCACTTTAAATCACTTAAAATTACTTATGTGTGTGTGATTTGGAACATTTAACTTTCACTAAAATCCTATAATCACGTTTAAGAGAAGAGAAAAAAAATGGGAAAGGAAAACATAGAAGGGCGGGGGGGGTGAGCAGAATTTGGAAAGTTCCTATTTATATAAAAATTATTTATTGTTACTTTTTACTTTAAAGGGTGTGAAGATCCCCTTGGATCTCACTTTGAGAACGAGAATGATTTTGAGTCAAAGAAGAACCAGTAGCCATTTTAATGAATAACTTTCTTTATTTGGTTATCTTTCCCAAATAGAATCTGTTAGTTCTGTTATTGAACAGCGCCCTCTAGCGGCTTGTAAAGAAAAACGTCAGAGTAAGTGTAACACTCACCAGGAGAGGTTGTGTACGGAGTAGAGAGAGAGATTAAAAATATTACAGTCCACTGCGTGTGTTTACTGTGTGTGTGTGTTGAGTCAATTCATGGTCCACCTCACCGGAGGAAAACGACCTTATGGATATGAGAATTTGTGAAACCGTGGATTATCAAAATTCACAGTAAAAAATATATATATATATATATATATAAGTGATTGCCAAAGTGTGAATAGAGAACGATTGACTTTAGCGAGCAGCGTGAAACAGCGATCTGAGGAGGTAGGTGCAATTAATTGATCCTTCTATTAGTGTCCTTAATTCATAAATATGTCTTTAAATAAATTGGGGAAAGACGAGTTAAAAATCGTTGCGGAAGAGTTAAATTTAACTGTACCAGAAGGAGCAAAAATCGCTGGCTTAAAAAACTTAATTGTAAATAGTGACGTTTACAAAAATGATAAAGAGTTAGTTCAATCTGCAATCGATTATGCTTTGGCGGAAATTAAAAATAAGAGATTGGATAGTGAAACTAAATTAGAATTTGAACGAATTAAATTAGCGCAATTGCAAAAACAATTAGAGCTTGCAAATATCCAGAAGAATTTAATTGAAAATTCCGATATTCAAAATCCGAGTGTTTGTGAAACTGCCGACAATTGTAATGTTGAGACTTTGTTAAAGTCCGTGAAAACTTTAACAATACCCGTACCTTCAAGAGTGGAATCATATAATTTATTTTTCCAGTCGCTTGAAAAAGCATTCAAAATAAAAGAGGTTCCCGAACGATTTAAATGCGAAATTCTTTTAAATATTCTAGGTGAGAGAGTTAATAATTTACTTGTTCATGTTTCCGAAGAAGAGTTAAATAATTATAGTAAGCTTAAAGATTTAGTATTAAAAGAATTTTCTCCCACACCACAAGAATGCTATAATAGATTTCAGAAAGCGCAAAAAATTAAGTTCAGAGAGTTATGTGCAATTTGCATCACGATTATGCGCGACATTTGAGTATTATTGTCAGCTGCGCAATGTGAATGATTTTAAATCATTGTGTGAGTTAATTGTATCGGATAAAATAATGAACACACTCGACAGAGAATTAATGTCTTACATGAATATAAAACAGGGAGAGAAATATTTTAAACCACAAGAGTTAGGGCGTGAGTGTGATATATATTTGTCATCGAAAGGCAAAATTAAGAATGAGATATTTTCTAAGCCCTTTTTTGTGAAAATTCCAAGCGTTTTAATTATGATAAACAAAACAAATTTAATGCTAAAATACCGCGAGATGCATCGAATGTATTTTTTCCGAGTTAAAAAATGATAAATGTGTATTGTGTAAAAATAATCATACTTTACAATTTTGCCCACAATTTAAAATGTTTTCTGTAAACGAAAGAGTAGAATTTGTTAAAAATAATAGACTTTGTTTTAAATGTTTTTCACCTCAATGCAGCGTTAGTAGATGTAGATCAAAAAATTGTTTCTGCTCGAAACCGCATAACAAACTATTACATTACCCCAGAGAAAGGAGAGGGAATTCCTTCTTCCCCCTTCAGACGATGACAGACGATAACCAGGAACCCCGGTTCGCCTTTAGTGTAAATGCCGAAACTTTCGTTCCGAAAGACGAAAAACAGATCGTGGCAACGGCGTGTTTTAAAAACAAATGCCTTTTGAGTACTGCTTTAATTCTAGTGAAAGATAAATATTCAGAATGGCA